CTTATGTGTGGATTGAATTCCTGCTGGTGGTCTGTGTGTATGCTACAGACCACAGCATACCTGGTATGGGAGCTACCTACCCACACCTCACATGTATGTGTGGGAACAAGCATTTGAATTGCTAAGGGCTCACTGCATGACTGCAAGTGTGAAAGCTTATCCCATTTCTCCCACCTTTCCAAAAAACCCCCAACATCCACTTGCAACATAGTCTTTCCTCACATGAGCATAATACACAGTGCTGAGTGAGCTACACTGGCTTCCATCACCCTCTCTTCACCTTCAGCCTGACGGGGGAGGATCCCTTGCGCAGGGGATGACCAAATCCTAATGCTGATGAGGGCATGAGAAAGCAGCTCAGAGTAGCCACAGCTGCCCATGGTAGAAAGCAGAAATATGGCTCTGGCGACCCCGGGACCTCTTAGCTCCTAATCCTGATGTTTGATGAGACATAACTGCTATAGAGTATTTGAATATACTGATTTGCTTTAAATCCATAGTAAAAAGCCCTCTGAAATGAACTTATAAGTTTGCAGACCTGAGAACTGTAGAAACTAAATCCATCAGGCAGTAAAAGAAGTTACAATTCTGACTCCATACTCTGAACATTCACATCTGAGTCCTATGCAAAGTTACACAAGCACTTGGGACCAAAAGCTCGGATCCAGTAAAGATTTATGTCCATCAGGGAACATTATTTCTTGTCCTTGACAGCACTGATCTTTATACAGTACTCTGCAAATAAATCATAATTGCTGCTCTGGACCACGGTTGCCAACCTTGGCTGCAGAAATACACGAGACACAAAAGCAGGAATTAAGCCCTCTAGAATAGAAAAAAAAGGGGGGGGGGGTATTTGTTAACTGGTTTCTATTTGCTTTACTATCAGTTGGGAAAGCAATATACTCACATTAAGATATAAAAATGGTAATGAATCTCCTCTCCCAGATTACACAGGAGTGTTATATATTGCTTCCATATGATCAATAATTCTAATTTTGTTTTCAGTCTGGAAATTTGTTGTGACCATAGTTTTTTCAGCCTATTCTGTACTCTTTCAAGAAAAGGGGATGATAACATTTTGCAGCACTATTTTAATTTTTTTTGTCTTTTGAAATTTGTTCTCATATAGTACACAAGAGATTTCTATTAATTGGGATATAGATAAATAATGTGAAAAATGCTATTAAGGATATTACTCACGTTTAACAAAATTAAAATATGCTGTTCTGATTTCATCTGCATTAACATTTTATAAGTTTTGGGTTTTGTTTTGGGGGTATTTGTTGTTTTTTTTTTTTAAAGGAACAAAAAAACCACCCGAAACAGTTTACATGTCTATCTTGTTTAAAATTGGCTGTGCTTGGAGGAACGCTGGGTGAGCCTAGAACAACTTCCCAGTGAGTGATCAAAGAGTTTAGCACAAGAATAATGCTTTAGAGACTCAACAGCCTTGGTTGTACACTGCTCAGCAAGACAAAGAGGACTGCTACAATATCTGCTGCCTTCGGTACATGGCAGATGTATTGTTTGTGCCACTTCCTGAACATTTTCCTGTATGAATCACTTTGTTAAATCAGAAACATATATGTTGGAACCAATTAGCTTAATTGCATCTTGTAAACAAGCACTGGTTAGCACAAACATCTGTAACATACTACAATATTGTCACTTTAAGACATAAGGCAATCATGTTAATACGTCTTGGATAAAATCCTGGCCTGCTGAACCCAGTAAGTCGTGCATTTCCTCAGGAACAAGACTTCACATACCAAATTCCAAACTTATCAAACATAGAGCCATAAGAGATAAGGAAAAAATAGGGAGTCTTGCTGTTATTTTCCAAACATTTAGTGTTTTGCTTTCACAAGATGGGGACAGTACTGTTCATCTAGTGCTGCAAGGGACTAAACACTCCACATGTTGAACCGCAATAGCATTTCTGCCAAAGCACAGAGCCATATGGAACCTTCGCACAGCAGGACAGAACAAACCCTTTGTACACGTCAGATATTTCCAAGCAGCAAACAGGCCTAAGCCTACTCGCCCAGGCCAATTACTTGATAAGCAGTAGAGTTTTCCTCATTATCGCCATGATCACTCAAGAGCTGGGCAGGCAGGCTTTTTATACGCTTAATCCTTCATGTTCTCGACTTCAGTCTACACATAACACATTTCATGAAGTTTGAAGCTATGTCTGTCCTCTACATAATATTTCTGCACTGGAAGGACAGAACCATAATGCATTTGCAGTACAGATTTTTCTCTTGCCACATTTTACATAATTATACTGTGGAAGCAAAAAAATACAAGGATAGAGTCTTTATTTGGAACAGACACAAAGTAAACTCCAAGTACAATCTAAACACAAAAATCTCTTTTCATGAGCATCAAGAATGCATTTGAAAGAATGTCAAACAGATGCCCCAAGAAAATGACTTCCCCTGCCTCTTTTCTCATCCCAAACCCTTATTATTACTTTTTGATTGATTTTTCTTGGCTCTTACACACTCTTATGTTGATCTTCTTAGGTGGGCTCTATACAACCTTCCCAGCTTTCTTTTATCCCTCTAGTCTTCTTGCCAATAAATTATTCTACTTTTATGAAAGGTTTCTTTTTTATTTCATAACCATTTTCTCTTGATCCAGAATGAGCTAAAACTCAGTGGTTGGGTGTTTTGTTTTTTAATGCAAAACTTGGTCTGCCAAATGCCTTAAAAATGTATTTCAACCTTCTCTGTTTATTTGAAAGCTGCTTCTTCCAAGAAGGCTAAGAATAACGTGGTTACCATAGTTTCCTTATCCATGACCAATAAAACGCAATTGGAATAAAACAAAAGAAAGACAAGCCTACTTACAAAATATGACTAAATGATTGGTCATTGATATCTTCACCCTACATCACTCCTATGGAAAATACTCAAGACTAATCAATATCCAGCTTTTGGTCCAGCAGGGAAGATGAAGAGAAGCCTGACCAAATGCCAACTTTTTGAGATATTTCAATTCCAATACTTAAGATGTCTGTTCATGTAAAATCCCTACCTCACGGATTTAGTATTTCACCTCAGAGATTTTGTATTTTATCGTACTCTTTTGTTCCAGGAAGTGACTGTGTAGGAAAGCACTTTGCTAAGGTTCAGTGAAGCTAAGTGATGGATTAATTACCTGTAGGAACCAGTTGACAAAGTAAATAATGTACTGCCTGTTCTTACAGTTTTGTTGGCCCCTGAACAGGCAAGCTTCAAGGGAACAAGCCAAAAATAATCTTTTTTCTTCCAGTCAACTGGCCAACAAAACCCCACATATGCTTCAAACATTATACAAATTACACCTGCTTTGGACACATCCATTTGCTTTTGTGATTAGAAGTTAAATGATGGAATTTTACTCTAATAAAATGAACTCTTAAGAAAAGAAAGAAAAACAATTGTTCTCAATAATAATGAAAGATGAAAGAGAAAACCACAACATGCATGATGGATATACAGACCCACTGCCAAGTTAATTTTTTTCCTGATTTTAAAGAGTTGTAAAGATTTCCTTTAAAAAAGTAAAATATTTTGCCTTTTCCTTTAAAAAAGGGAAACAAAAATCCAGAGGATGTTCTGTTTGATAAGACACACTAAGACGACTTAGCAAGGCAAGCACCTGAATGGGAGGGTGGCAGAATCCTTCTCCCACACTCTCAGTGCACACTGTGGGACTGACTCCTGTGGTGCCTGGGACTCTCTCACAAGGACACCAGGTAAATGAGGGAGAACGCAACTCAAGATTTTCTAGTTTTCTACTAATGTTTGCTTGCCAGTGACAACAGCCCAAAACAGCTGAGGTTAAATCAAAAAGCTCTGGCCATGGTTTGATAACACCTGGATGTAAGCAATAGGGGAAGAAAATACAGCAAGTGTCTTCCTTACCCCAGGCACCCAGGTCTGTAGTCAGGGATTCTGAGCACTAGGAGCAGGAAAACTGCTAGAAAAGCATTTGCTGCTGTTGCTTTTGAAGAAAAACTCTTATCCTCGCTGTGCAGCTTTCTGGAGCTTTTGCAGATGCCAGAAGCACCATCGCTGCATATATCGAACACACAGGCACAGAGCCTCAGTCAACATAGTTTCAGTTATAGCTTAGCCACAAGAAAATATAATACATCTTTTATCCTTGCCTTCTCATCTTGTGAAGGTCATGTAAAGGTAACAGAGTATAGGGAAGAGAGAAAGAAGGTGTAAGAGTGCAAGAGATCATTCACATGGTGAACATGCTCCACTATTCCAATAAAAAAGCTTATTAGTTCACCGCACCGGAAAAGCATTCTGTGTGTAACAGGATGGCAGTTCTAATGCGTTCGACAAAGCCATTGTATTTTTGCAGAAAAAACATCTTGAATCCTGTTAATACATTGCTCATCGCATCAGTTAAACTAAGTCGTACATTTTTAAATTGCTGATCTCAAGTTAATCAGTGTCAGCACTATAAAAGAAAATAGCTAAAAGCACTGACTAAAAAGGCACGTCTTTCACATCCCTAGAGTGAATTTACTGGGGAACAGGAAGAAGCAGTGAAGACCAAGCCTACATTAAACTTTGCACCCTTCTCATCTACCAATAAAGAAGTATGCAGACCAGTTTTGTTTTGTTTTTTTTTCCCCAACATTTCCTTTATGCCTTCAGCACACCACATTTCAAATCTCACACCAGCCCTGACCAGGCTGCTCGTTAGTGGTTTTAAACTTCCCATCCAAAAACACCTAAGAGGAGAGTACCTGCTCAGGACCTGTGGCTCTGCATTACCTTACATCATTGTCCTCTACTCCTAGGGACAGCACCCTGATGGAAGGCCCAAACCCTGTTATTACCCAGTTGTAAGTGGTACCCACAGTAAATGACATTTGAAGCCCCGTCCACTTTGCCATTATCAGTTTGGTTGTTGACCTCTCTTACGGTTCACAACAAGAAGCAGCATCCTTCCTTATCCTGCCTGTCAGAAACCAACCAGCACAATACCTCATTGATGGCAAGCTGCTCTCCGCCTCCCCCAGGGTGGCCATAGCGGTGGTTGGAGCTCCGGAAGTCCTCATACAGGTCCTCCTCACTTCCCACATCATCTGTTAGAGCTGTCTTATCCAGTGCCCCATCAGCGATCACTGTAATAATAAAAAGAACAAATTGGTATAGAACACAAGATCCTCAGCAGCACTACATCAATTATACAAGCTTGGCTGGGATGAGGGACACTATAACACAGCATAAAGGAAAAAAAGACAAGGAAACTATATAGGCAATTTCAGGACGCAATTCCAGCCTGGTGCATGCCCATTTTTCAGAGAATTTTTCTCCATTCATGTTTTGTTACCATAAATGATTATGTCTTTTTCTGGACTGGAAAGTATGATTTAAAAAAATTCAACAAATGCTGCATGTTGCAAAGAAAAGATCAAGTAAGAATAAGAAAACAGACTCTGAAAAAAGGCACGGGGCAGGGATGATGCAAACATGATTTCATTATGACATTGCCGTGTTGACAGGAAACTTGACTAGGTAACAAGCTCATGCCTGCCAATTCATACCTTGATGATTATGATTTACCAAATACTATCAGACCAAGGAAACTCTCAGCCTTTGGGAAAAACATTCACCTTCCTCTTTGTCCACACATTTATTTAATTTGAGAACTCTTTTTGTTGCCTAAAAGGGTGTTTGCTACAGAAGTATCCATTATTACCACAGGAGGGCCATTCTTCTCAGCACAGCCCCGAATAAGCTACGGATAACGGACAGTTAACGGTCTGTAGCTAGAATAAGCATTGAAGTCTCAAGATATAAGCATAAGCCTGAGAGAAATCAAAATATGGCATTTATACTCCTTGCACAGAAGAAAATAGCACTTCATCTGTTTCATAGACAGAAACCTTCTCCTATGGTCTCCTCAAGGTATTAGCAGATACCCTTTAGTGGCATGTTGACCAATCATTCATTCATCCCATACCTGTATAGGCTACTGAGCATAAACTTTCTGTTCTCAAAATCTGTGAAAAATGTCAATGATTAAAGAAAACATTTACTGCCATATTCATCTGGATTAGCACCTGCTAGGACAACAGTTTCCATGACAAAGAGGTGGGCTTCACAAAGATTTCTATGCATAAAGTAAGTAGCTAACACAAACATGATGCAGAGAACAACAGCTGATATAACTAGTCATTTTAGTTCAAAGGACTTGACATGGCTACGCTAGTAGAACTGAATGAAGTGAAAACACAGATATTGCTATCAGCACTCCTGTTGACAATCTTGGCTGTCCAAGTTACATATGATGTCACACTCAAAGTTTTTGCAGAACAGGTAAAATAAAATCTTTGAGCTTGATCTTGTACGGTTTGAATAGGAAAAGCACCGGTCAGAGCCTGGGGACACATAAACCTGTTCTTGAGCCCTCATTTCACTCCATAATGCAAGTGCATCTTATGAACCTAACTGTGTCAATGGACCAAAAAAAAGTGCCTCAGGGTTCATTAGCTTATTATTACCTGAAAGCAAAGCTCCCCAGTAATACAAAATAAAGTGCTGTCAGAGGTTACAGAAAGACCTGCAAAGATCGTCCTCATCAATGCTTTCATTACACGTGATGTTTTGTTAAGGCCACATCACTTGATTACTTCTAATAACATGGTGAGGTGTAAATTCAGTGCAGCAGCTATCAGTTCAGTGCAGTAACTTGACATCAAAATGACTGGAGTATGAGCTATTTTTGAACTAAATACTTGATTGTTTATGCTCTGAATTCAGTAAATACACAGAACATAGCAAAGACACATTCATTGTCTAAACCTGGAACTCCACTCAATATCGATGGCAGTTCAGGACATGGAGGTGCATATGAGCTTATGATTAAAGCAGAATTTTCTGTGGAAGTCTGTAACTACCGAACCATTCAACTTCAAGTGACATTTCACAAAAAAATCAAGCATTCTCATAGCTTTGCTCTGACACATCATATCATTATACAGAAGTTCTTCACTGAACAAAGCCCTGAGGGGAAGAGGGCCCCAAGAAAGCTGGGTAATATTCAAGGATCACCTCCTTCAAGCTCAGGAGCGCTTTGCTCTGACACATCATATCATTATACAGAAGTTCTTCACTGAACAAAGCCCTGAGGGGAAGAGGGCCCCAAGAAAGCTGGGTAGTATTCCAGGATCACCTCCTTCAAGCGCAGGAGCGATGCATCCCAACAAAGAGGAAGTCAGGCAAAAACACCAGGAGGCCTGCATGGATGAACAAGGAGCTCCTGGACAAACTCAAACACAAAA